CTCTCCCTCCCTCTCCCTCTCCCTCTCCCTCTCCCTCTCCCTCTCTCTCTCCGTTACCGAGTAATGCAAGCGTTCCTGGTACGTCGACATGGAACGGCCGACCCTGACGAGAGGTTTATAGCAGCATCCATTATTAGAACGCCGATACGAGAAGCTACTACGCTTCATAAATATAAATTCGAATGCATAATCGATGAAAGCGAACGCCTACCGAGCGACGCCAACTGCATGACAAATGCATTGTGGATCGGGGAGGGGGGAGGAGATATTTCATCCTTAGCGTTCCGGCCATTTACCGAAACCGAAACCGAAACGGTAGAACCATTTTGGTCCAAACCACCACCACTGCTACTCCCCCATGGGACGAATCAATTCAATGTTAAATTATTTCCGAAAAGATAGAATAATATCTTCTTGTGAAATGATCGAATAAATTGACTGCTGCACAATCGAAGAAGAAAGAGAAATAACGCTATGCGCCTCGTCGCTGAATATCGTAAGGCCCAAAGCCTCGTGAAAATTATATATCTCCTCCTCCTGTATCGCGTCATTCAACTCTCGAAAGAAGCTAGAAAGGCTTTATAGGTGGTGGTGTTGTATCGAGAACCGATTACCAGGCTCTCATTGATCGCCGATAGGTCGATGTTCCCCGATTAACCCGTCAGGTCAACGTCCATGAAAGAACGCGTTCATGGCTTTTTCGCTCGAACGGGGTCAGACTCTTCCCTCCCCTCTTCCTTCCCTCGTTGCATATATATATTTATATATGTATATATAAATATAACTCTCGTCGCACGCTAATCTCGCGGTGATTTTTCATTTTAGATGGGCGGAGCGCAGGATGGCCCCCACAGGCGCATCATTGTTGACTCGAGAACCGTGGCAAGGGCTGAGGGAGAGGAGGGCTGGAACAGAGCATGGTATGCGCGTGTCGATGATGCACGATGTATACTCCATGTACACGCACTAACGTGGTCCTCGAGCGAGTTCAAGTTTAGCCCATCCATCGAGTTTGGCCTCCAATGTTAGCTTATCGCTTGTGCTCGTGTGCTCGTCGAGCAACAATTTTTTCCCTTCTTCGATTTGGAAGAAAAATGATGATACGAACTTCAATTCGCAATCTCTCGCAAGTTGAAGAAACTCTCGGAGAGGGGAGGCGTATGACAATCGGTGATGGATATAATTTGTTTTATTGAAAACGTTTTCGTGTATTTTATAATCTTTTATAAATCTTGATTCGAATATATAAAAAATAGCTCTCTAGAAAATACTCAACTGCAATAAATTGTTTTTGTCTTTTTATTTTATTCAGTTATAATACGAAAAAGATATAAATAATTCTTTCAATAGAGTTACATTTATTTTCTATTCATAATATAAATACAAAAAATTTTATCACGCAATAGCGTCATTTTTATTTTTTTTTTTTCTTTTTTTTTTCTCTTTTTTTTAGAAAACAAAAATTTCCATCGTTATTATACAATGGCATTATACAATGGCAATGATTATTTTTTATATCATCCATATATTTTTTTTTCCCTTTTATATATTTTTTCATTTTCGCTCACAAAGCGATAAATCTCTTGGAGATCTCGTTCAAAGATATTCGATATATATTTTTATTCAATATATATATATATATATATATTTTTTTTTATTCCTCGATTTCGAAGGTACCGAACTCCCTCTGTATCTCGGTGAAAGTTTTCCCTTTTGTCTCGACCAAAAGGAAGATCACGAAAACCACGCTCAAAGCGCAGATCAACGCGAAGAAGAAGAAGACAGGTGCCATCCCGACAGCCTCGACCACGCTCGAGAACGACACGGTCACGATAAACGCCAATATCCAGTTGAACAATGCTGCGGAAGTGGAAGCGGTCCCCTTTAACTTGGTAGGAAAGATCTCTCCCATATAGGCCCACGGTATAGGACCTGTATTTCCACGGAAAAATGTACCATTATATCGATGTCGAAATTGTCGAAATCGATCCACTTTAAATCCTTAAAAAGATGATCCTTGTAACGCGAGAACTCGTGTCTCGAGGCGACACGATGAAATGAATATGTATTCTTTTTTTCTTCTTCTTCTTCTTTCGAGATCATCACTAGCAGCGAGACACTGTTCGAGATAAATCTCATCGTGTAAAAAAAAAAAACATTTGACAGACATGTTCAGCTCGGAATGGATCTGGATCGCGTAACTAGCGATGAGACATGGATAAATTCCGTATCTCATCTCTACGTGTAAAGTAAAACAATTATCTGCGGCAACTGAATGCATCAAAGACCGTGTTTATTTAAAATTAGTTATATTCTGGAGAGGAAAGAAAAAAAGAAAAGACATTTTGAAAGAATCCAAAATGAATGTAACGATTCGAGTTACCTGATCGTCACTCGTGTTGATTTTTAGTTTTGAATTTTCCAACTTCAGAAACCGTTATCCGGAGCGAACATGTTAAACGAGAAAAAAGAAGAAAAAAAGGTTGGTTTCGATTTGTTTCGTTACTACTAACCGGCACCCAGGCAGAAGGACAGGATGTACAAGCAAGCGCAAAAGAGCGGTAACCAAAATAGAGAGTCGGCTACTGGCGGATTGCTTTCTTTTATGATGAAAAACACGGCCAGACCTATCAGGCAGATGCACATCACCGCAAAAGATATTACCAGAAGTACTTTTCTGCCCACCTACAAAAATTAACCAATTTTCCAGAGTTCCATTTATTTTACTAAAGTTTTTCGACGAGTGTACGCTGCGCGAAATTAAAACTCTTAACGCATTATCATTATTAATATTTTTGAATAATATATCCAAGGTCGAATAAGAGATTAATCTGAAAAAGAGATTGGTCGAGAAGCGCAGCATTCACTCGATTCAATTGTGGAAAACTAACTTGGTCGATCAGCGCAGCAGCTATGACGCAAGCGATCACCTGGACCACCGCGAACACCACCATCTGCAGCAAGGGATCTAGATCGACGCCGGTCAGCTTGAAAATCGTCTCGCTGTAGAATATGATCGCGTTGATACCGCTGAATTGTTGGGCGAACATCAGCCCATAAGCGATCCCCAACGTCTTCAGCACAGCTTTCTTCATGAACGCGTCGAATGTCACTTGCTGGAGCGCGCTTTTCTCTACTTGTTCCTGGCGTTAATTAAATTATTCGATTGCTCGAGAAACTTTTGCGGATATCTCAAAATACCGTTTCGATATTTTACAGTAATTTAACGGTGGGTAATACTTTCGCTATTCTTTCGAATCTTATTTAAAAAGAAATATTCGAATATTCGCTGTCCTCGAAAAATGATTTACGCACGCATTCAAGAATCTCTTTGTTGTTTAAACTTTTGATTAATTCAATCGAATTATGGTTAAACAAAATAATAAGAGAGACAATTGAAAACAATTGAAAACTCGTAATATCTAATAATATAAGATTTACGATGGGACAAGATGGGAAGAGATGGAGAAGATTAAATAAAATAGAACACTAACTTTGAATATAGCGAGCTCATCGTCGATTTCTTCGTAATCCGGTCCTCGGAAGAATCTCATCGATTTTTTGGCAGCCTCCTCGTTGCGTTTTACCATGTAAAACATAGGACTCTCGGGCATGAATATCATCATTATAACAAACAGAATTGGACCAACTAAACAAAGACCTGTCGTGGTAACGACGTTTCTAGCGTATCCGCAGCAGTAAGCGTACAGGATTCCGATCACGAGCAATAATTGGAAGAATATACCCAAAGTACCTGATCGAATAACAAAATTGCATTTCAATTGGGAGGGAGGAACAAAACGATACGATCTTGGACGTTTCTCGAGCAATTTCTCTCAAATCATAAATAATTTTCGTTCCATAAATTGAACAGAGAGAAGATACGTTATTATTAATCGCTCGAGAAGCGTTAAAAATCGTACGAACTTATCTTTTTCGTTCGGCCATTCATTTTCTCGTACCTCTGATTTGTTTCTCTGAAATCTCCGCGGAGTACATGGGCACTATGACGCAAAACATCCCACCACAGGCGCCGGTGAGAAATCTTCCTACGACCAGAAGGGCGAACACGGAAACACCGATTATGATGAAAACCCAGCCGAGGATGAAGGCCGGAATCAGAGAGAGCATCAACCACTTTCGACCGATCTTGTCGATCAGGAATGGCACAATTGGCAATCCGCAAGCCGCACCCAACGGGAAAATCGCGGCGATCAAGGCGATCGCGGATATGTCGTACATGTGCACCTCTTTCAAAAGTTCAACGCATGGCGCGCTCCATCCGATACCGCAACCCAGTGAAAATCCACCCATGCACGCTGCGGAATTTATTCCAAATAATGATGGGGATGATACGGATCGAGAATTTCGAGTTTATATATGAAATGGAGGAAATGTTTGAATATATGTGTATATATATATATATATATATATAACCGAAAGATTCGGAAAACTCGTGAAAGTTTTGACGATCCATTGAT